AAGATTAATTTATCAGAACTTTGACACAAGTATTATGGAAAAAAATAAGTTAAAAAAATATATATAAAAAGTTTTCAACAGTGAACATGACGACTTAATTAATTATATAAAAATAAAAATAGAGAACTGTATTATTTATAAAGTTGATCATACTTATCTTTAGACTATGAAGACATCTTAGCCGTTCCCTGCCAACCGATCCGAAAAAATAAGGTCCGATATCAGAGCCGTAAACTAGGACGGGTCCCACCTACTACTTTAAATATAAACCGTTCGGTTCGAGTCGGTGCGTTGGACCATTGGACGGGATCCCAACGGAGGGGAATAGCCGTAAAGGCTCTCGTGTCTGGTGAGCTGTTGTTCTCTCCCCGTCGTCGTGGTCTTCCCCACCGCTTCAATACGTACTCAATCTGCCTTCCTAAAGCTTTCCCTTCTTGCTCTGCCTTCCGTTTAATCCATCTTCCAACCTCTTCCTTCACCGTTTCGTCGATCGAAGTTGGATGCGATCGAGTTGAGGAGCGGAGGAGGTGACTTCTGTCGTGCGCTTTCTTTTTGTTTCTTTGGTGGAAGGATCCCGGGGTTCCTCCGATGTCTTTCTTCTCCTTCTGCTGCGGACGGGCTTCTTGGTACGCTCTCGATTTCCTTTGACTTGATCGGTTGTCAGATGTGAGGAAGGATGATGTAAGAAAGGATGGGTCTTGATGGGTGGATGAGCAAAAAGATTTCAGCTTTGTTGCTTTTGATTGGTTTGATGAGGAGCGGGTTGCGAATTTAGTGCTTTTTCTTTGGTTTGATTGTGTAAAAAATAATTGTTTGGGTTTTGCAGGGGGGAGCGGAGGAGGAAGGATTCCACCTCGTGGAGGATTTTCTCTCTGAAGGAACTGAGCTCGGCGACGAACAATTTCAATTACGACAACAAACTAGGTGAAGGGCGATTTGGCAGTGTGTATTGGGGTCAACTCTGGGATGGATCTCAGGTATTGTTCGTCTTCCCGTCTCATGTTTGTCTTTCTGAAAGCGTGATGCTCTTTTGTTGGATTCTATAGTTATATTGGTTCTTAGTTGCAGTCGCTGGATCTTTGAACCTGTAGAAAGATCAAATTGGTCAAGAAATTAGGAAGTTATAGAAGTCACAAATTTCAATCTTTTCTGGGTGAAACTCCATGATATAGATGTTGTTTTAATTTTCGATTGATTATCTGATCATCCCATAGACGGGTCAATTTAGAGGCTCAGGTCCTTAATAGTTATTTTGATACTTCCTCCTCTATATTTGAATACTGTGTTCTTATGTTTCCTTGATGAATTTCTTCAGCAACATGATAGAAGCAATGAATAATATGTCTTACACTTGAGTCTTCACAGAGTGAATTTACATAAACTGTGTATCATTCTCCTACAGCATACCTCTGTAGTTCATGAATTGATTGCCTTTCGATTGGTAATCTATTTTGAGGTTGAAACTCTTCTTTTTCTAGCATACCTGAATAAAATTTGTCAATGTGTTCAGGAGAATGTATTATTGTCAATAAATTGGAAGAACCACTTGAGTTGTGATGGTACTAGATATGCCATATTGTGTTTTTGTCAATAAATCGGAAGAACCACTCAAGTTGTGATGGTTTTCTTCAAGTGACAACGAGATGCTTTATCATTTAATTGAAACATTTTTTTCATCCTTTCTCCACTTGTTTCATATCATTGAAGTATCCATGGATATGACAATCAGTTATGTAGTCATTTTTCTTTAAAAAATAAATCAGAGAAATTTTTTAGTCATGCTTGATTATCGTTGTTGAGAATTTTGGATCAATTGTTCATTGATTCGATTTTCAATGTTAAAATCTCTTCCTATTCATCTTGGCGATCAATTGTGGACTACTGTGGACATAACATAGGCTATTAAATGCTGAATCCTCAGAATGAAAATTGGCTATGTACTTGATTGATGCCTTGTTCTTGTAACTACTAAATTTTGAAATGCCAGCTCACAAAGTACCTGTCTAGGAAGTTAAAACCTCATACTTGTTTTTCCTATGTTTCCAATTGAAGATACCTATGCTGATTTTGCATAAAACCCATTGCTTGTGAGTTGTTTCGCTATACTTGTTCATTTGTTCTTTTTATGATGATTAATTTGCTTACTTTTCCAATTTTCATTTAAATTCTTTAGCATGTAACTCATTTATTTTTTTGTTGAATCTTATGGGGGGTATATCCTTCATGATTTGGTCATGAATTGTTGCCTGAATTCTGTGGTCAGATGAATTTTGATCTGCCAATAATATTTTCTATTCATGCACTTATTTGTGCTACATTGTTTGAAGATTTTACCTTATATCAGTTTATAGTACTCATTTAGTTCCTTTTTACTCATAAATCATATTTCTCATTTTAACTTAACTATTTGCCTCTCAATATTTCTCTCAGAATGTATCAGATACCTTGTTTATATACGATATCTTGTTTTGATGAAAGGACACCCTATATAAATGGTGAAGATCCTACGGATCGTCTTGATGTAGGAGTGTTGGAATATAATAAAATCAATTGCCTTCGGAATGTATAATTAGACCATCATGCTTGTAAACTTGATTAGGATGGTCTTTGGGTTACCAAAGACATTGAGATGTCTTAACGTATTGTTTTATTAGCTTGATGCTAGGATGTTCATTTGCACATAGATACAGATGTGATGAACATCAAGTGCAGTATAAATTTGATACTGTTGAATATATATTTGTCAAGACGAATTTATATTATTCATATATTGATTTTTGAAGCTAAGAAATTTGATGAGCAGAAACGAAGTTAGGAGGAAATATTACATTACCAAGCATGACGGTCCCATATCTTTTTTTATAATATATATGTCAGTCCAAGGATGTTTTATAGATATCTTGGGCAGCTAAGAGAAGCAAACTTAAAATGATAAGGATGTTGAACTGGATATGTATAGGAAAGTTGGAAAAATATTTTCGTGCATAGACAATTAAGTGTATTCTCATAGAGGATATAATGATGAATAATTATTTAAGATGATATGTGCATGCACTAAGAATAACCATAGATGTAGTTATAAGAGGTAAGATAATAAATATTAGTGGTATGACGAAAGTTAGAGGGAGACTTAAAGAAACTTTACTAAAAAGTCATAAATAAATATTTAAATGTTTTGAATCTATCTAAGCATATTGTTTTTTTCACAACTCAATGGTAGCACAAAATTGATGCAACTAACCCCAAATCGTTGGAACATTTTGACTTGTTGTTGTAATCATGAAGGTCTTATAACATAGGACCACATTGATGCCTTGACATCAAACGTAGTAAAGATACTTTAAATATTAACACAAAAGGTGGAGCAGTTAATGGTATCACAAAAACATTTAACCATCAAGAGTATCACTTTTTTGAGTGAGAAAGCTGTTATTTTATCACAAACTCGACGTATACTTCCAGAAACTTATTGCATTGGATCTCTATGTCAATCATGTTCAGCTCCCACAAATTTATTAGACCCCTTGATGAGTTACTCAAGTTTGACAATTCTTATGTATATTGAAGTAAGAACCCCAGATGATATATCACAAAGTGCAAGTGAACTCAAGGCCAGCATGCATGGGTTTACATTAGAATAAAAAAATATCTTCACTAGGACTTCTAACCGGCCTCTTGATAATCCCTTAACTAATTTATGGTTGCTTTCTAGATCTTTAGTGTAGTTTATGATTCACAATTGGTTTCAACTATTTTTGAATTTAAAGCTATCAGTCTACAGTATCCATGTTTCTTTCTATAACCTACAAGTTGTACATTCTGTTCAGTGATTTATATTCTATCTACTACCTTCCTGTGAGCTGCATAATAATGTGACTTTTCTCATCCCTTTTATGTTTCAGCAATCCCTTGTCATCACAACTGCTTGCCTTAATCTAGTGCCATCTTTTTGCAGATTGCTGTTAAAAGATTGAAAGTTTGGAGTCACCAAGCTGAGCAAGAATTTGCTGTTGAGATTGAGGTTCTGGGTAGAGTAAGGCATAAGAACCTTTTGAGTCTACGAGGATACTGTGCTGAAGGGAAGGAGCACCTCATAGTGTATGACTATATGCCAAACCTGAGTCTGCATTCACATCTTCATGGTCATTACTCAGCAGAGTGCATCCTTGACTGGGGTAGGAGGATGTCCACTGCAATAGGATCAGCTGAGGGGATCGCGTAGGTCTATCAACTCAAATAAACTGTTCTCTGAGTTTAGTTGTCTGAATACTATTTGATTGTGTTTTCTTGTTTTAGCTACCTTCACCACCAGGCAACACCCCATATCATCCACCAGGACATTAAAGCAAGCAATGTTCTGCTAGACATGGATTTTCAGGCACGACTTGCTGATTTTGGATTTGCAAAGCTAATTCCTGATGGTGCAACTGATGCCACGACTGATGTAAAAAGCAACCTTGGCTATCTTGCACCTGAGTACGTCTCATCCGGGAAGGCCTCAGAGAGTTCAGATGTGTATAGTCTTGGCGTACTCCTCTTAGAGCTTGTCTGTGGAAAAAGGCCAGTCGAGAAACTTAGCGCAACTATGAAATTATCAATCACAGAATGGGCTCTCCCTTTAGCTAGAGAAAGAAAATTCAATGAGATAGCGGACCCAAAGCTCAATGGAAACTACGTGGAAGCAGAACTGACACGAGTGGTGCTTGTTGCACTCTTTTGTGCACAGAACAGCCCCGAAAAGAGGCCTACAGTGCTTGAAGTTGTCGACTTGCTCAAAGGAGCATCTAAAGAGAAACTATCAAAACTGGAAAATGATGATATGTTCAGACCTGAACCTCCTGAGGCCTCTCAAGGGGCATCTACTCCTGATAAAGGATCAGAGGACATAGCGCAGGAAACTGTTCCATAACTGCACAGATATCGGCTCATGCCCTTGCGATAAGTTTGTGGATGGATAGACTCGAATTGCTATATACATACTCAACTATTTCTTCAACTTATGATCAAGATTGTTTTTAAAAGGTTTTTTTTAAGGTGTCTTATTGTTGTTTATAGTATAATTTCCTTTTGATTGTACATGTTGGATTAATAGAATGACTGGGCCTTGGTCACAATATAGTCAACATCATGATCGTGTTTTTGGGATCAATGTTTATGTTGTGCGTCGTTTGTGATTTCTTCTTAAAAAGATGGTTGTGTAAGCACACACCATGAGTTTGTTAGATCTGTCAAATTCAGTGATATGCTCAACGGGATGACTTGATGGTGTGCTTCTTGTTCTTCTAATATGCTTTTCCATCTACATTGAGCATGGGTGAAAGAAATGGACTTAAATATGAATGCATTTCAGTAGTTTTCTTTTTCTCTTTGTTTAAATGTATCTCGATCCAAAGTGAAGAATATATTGTGATTAGAAATCCATGACTCATGCACTTACTGGAAGCCTAAATAACTTTGATATTAACTATTTTGGCATGATATGCATGCTTCTTCTCATGTGAGCCCATAGGAATTTGCATTTGCAAGAGAAGTCTACCTCAATCCCTTATAGACTCTTTCCTGACGTCCAAATCTTGTTCGACTTGGGCTTATAGTAACATTTTGTAAAGGTAAATGACAAAATTGGGATTCTATCTTAACACCATGTTATCAACCAAGCAAGCTAACTTACATCTTCACATTAGCCAAGATGTCATGAAGCTCCTACTAAAATATGATTTATGCTACTATTGTAAGATCATATCCCTTTGGTAGATTGTTATTTTGTGTGATCTTTATTAACGATTATTTTGGTAGATTGTTTTGTGAATTAACGAAACCATTATTATCTATCTAGCATTTATGATATGTACAAGCACAATGGTCCAAATACGGAGCCAATAAGTGTCTATCTTATCAAGAACTAATATTAGATTATTACTTGATATATATATATATATATATATATATATATATATATATATATATATATATATATATATATATTGTGACATTAAATAGCATAAGTTATTGTATCGATCTGAACCATCACCACACACACGTAGGGTGATTTTTCTAAAAAATACTTAAAAATTTCTTTATCTGTTTTTGGCCTATTAAAATGTTTTGATCATCACAATAAAAATACTGTAAACTCTACTTAAAAACACTATAAATGAACTAAATAGAATCCGAGCATACTAGAAAGTATTTGATATATTATACTATTATTCAAATAGATATTTATAATAAAAATAACATCACATCAATAAATAAATAATTAGTTTTTTATAGTATTATTATCATCATGATAAAAAATAGTATAAAAACTACTTAAAAATACTATAAATAATCCAAATGGACTCTTAATCTCAACCGAGCCAATTATAAGTCTACAAATATGAAATTATAATGATATACGAGCAATGACAACAAAAGAAAATACAATATGATGTCACTTAGTTTCTCAATAACATTCATAGTGTTTTATACTGTTTAAAAAAATAATAAAATTAAAGATATCAATTGAAAAAAAATAAAAAATATAAGTATTTTATAAAAAAATATATATATATATTCACGATAATATTGTGCATAGAATGCGATGAGAGAGGAGGAACCAAACCCAACAAGTAAAATTTTAGTTGGCCATGTGAAAAGGGGCCCTCCTTAGTGGTCCCGAAGTCGACTTTTTAGGTGTCCCCCGAGCTTTTAGATTTTGGTGCTCATCCACAACGCACACTGGTCTGTCCCAAAATTAATACTAGATCGTATAAATCGGTATTTTCTTTGTGATATCGAATGATATAAATCAGAAAATAATATTTGATCCCAAGAAGATATTGATTTAGTCAGCTTATTTCTTTTGAGGTTAATCAAATAAGATTTGTACCCTCGAATCAAGTAGATTTGATGCATCATTATATATATGTATATATATATATATATATATATATATATATATATATATATATATTAGAGCGAAAGGAATATAGGAGTTTATAGTTAGGTATTTGATCAAATCTTTAATTTGTATACAATCTATCACTAAAATATTCTGATTTCGAAAAATAAAAAACTATTAGCTCAACACAGATTTTGCGAATAAATGGTATTAACACGTCACCACACATAATCAGAATTTAAATGGACCGTGGAAGCGGGTCCTACCGGGTGGGCCCTGGTGTCAATCCTCAGGAACGCAAACGACTCCATCTTCGTCTTCTTCCATCGCAATCAGACACTCACCTGCACCGTCAATCCGCAGTGCTCTCCTGCCAGATCCGGATGGAGGAGGCGTGAATGCGGTCTCACCACATGCAGCGACGAGCTCGTCCTCCTCCCTCCCTCCCTCCCTCCCTCCCAGCCTTCATCCCTCTCCATGGTCCCAAAAGATCCGTGAGGTCATTCTTCGTGGAGTAACAGGAGGCTCCTCTTCGATGAAAGCGGGTGACGTCGACGCCACAAACCACCAAAAAGGCAGAAGATCTCGCGATCTCCTCCCATTAACTGCGAGGCTGTACGCCACCAACGGCGGAAGCGGCCGTAGGCGCCGGGTCGCCCACGCGTCCCCCCGCCCCGGGACAACACTCTCGATCTCGGCCGTACGATGTGGATTCCGGGGCCCGCAGACGCCCATCCCCCCCTAACGTACCTGCTCGGCTTTTGTCTTCTTCTCTTCCGGCAATGTGGCGTGGGAGCCGCCGCCCACTCAGGTGACCCACGGTGGTGCCCGACGGTGAGGCCCCACCGTCAGGAGCGGCACTCGAATCCTCCTCCTCCTCCTCCTATCCAGCCTAAGAATGAGGAGGAGACATATGTTCTGTGCGTGCGTTCGTAATAATATCCAATATAAATTTGATTCTTCGCTATGTTAATATTTTTCTGAACAAATAAATAGCAATAAATATTTTGTTTTTCTATTCATATAATTATTAGTAATTAAAAAAAAATAGTAATTCGAATCAAGCAGATTTAATGTTATCATCCCTGATACCCCATCACTAGTAAACCTACCTTACCATGGGTTGGTTTTTAACCTAAATTATGAATAGAAACCAACTTTATGTATTATATATATTTGTGGGTTGATCATTCGATCATTTTTGGTGGATTTTTATCTTTATTTAAATAGTAATCTGATCTATGTCTTCCGCCTCATTTAGATAGATAATTTGATATATTTAGTTTTTACTAACTCGAATGATATCTATCTCGATTTTTCATTTTTTTTTTCTATTTTCTACCCGGCCATGCCATTTCATAAGGGTAAAAGCATCCTTTTGCAGCTTTCACATATGGCCACCAATATAATATGACTTAATAAATTATGTTGCATTAGATATGTCGTTAATATATATATATATAATATTTTCTTACAAATAGAGAAATAGAGAATATTTCTCTATTTGTAAGAAATCAATGATTTATCATAGTGATGTTTGTAAGCATCAAAAGGAACAGTCTCATCATATCGATTATCTAAATCATCCCTCCTTCGAATATATATTTCTTCTCACTGGTCTCATCTTTATTATTATTATTTTTAATCATATATGGTAACTCTAATATCTAATTCTCTCTACACACCCTCACCCCATATTTACACTATTTTCCTCGACTTCTGTTTTACTGTGCAAACCTCCACGGTTAAGTTCTAAAAGGCTTTCAGGAGGGGATAAGGGAAGTCGTATCCATTCCCATTCGGATTGGATTTTTCTTGGAATAATAATACTCCGACTCGGTTCATTCTCGGGCTTCCTTTTCAGCATGTCATGATCCGACATGAAGTGAGTCATTACCCCTGGTTCTGCAGAACCGGAGCGGGTCGAAATGATGTCGGTCGGCGGCCAGTTTTTGTCTGCGTAATTAAACCTGCATTAACTACATGTTGGGGTTGGCTTGTGTTAAGGAAGAATAATATGATCGATGATACTTGCGACTCAAGAACATGGTGACGCAGCTTCTCTGGCTTGGGACCGTGGCGATTTAATAACCTGTTTGTCCGGTGACTTAAGCTTGAAGACAGTCGTCGATCACGTCATTCTTTAATCCAAGTGGACCTCGAATTTATGTTGCTGTCCGTCCGTCCATCAATCCTTAAGCAACTTGTCACTTGTCCATTAAATGAGAGGGTGAATTAGGATTCAGTGTTTCCGAGAGCGTAATAGAGGAAAGGATGTAATGGAGCAACGCTCTTTGATGGGAGAAGAGTAATGGAGTGGAAGGCAATGGTGTGTTCATTTCATTTGTGCTTTAAAATTATATGGATCTTTCTTTTATCATCATTAAAATTTATAAAAATATATATTTATTTAATTAAATAAAATTTATTTAAATTTATAATTTTTATTTAAATCTTTTTAGATCTTCCTTTTATCTCTTCTCATAATAATAATAATAATAATAATAATAATAATAATAATAATAATAATAATAATAATAATTTCATATTTTTAATTATAGATTTATTGGTCTCCTAGGCATATATTAATATCAATTTAAATGATTCTTTCTCATTTTATTCTCTATCAAAATTATACATAAATATTTATAAATAAAAATAGTTTTTACTTTTATTATTTTTAATAATTTTATATATTAAATTATTATTTAATAATTTAATATTTTAATAAAAAATATTTTTAATATTCTTATCTCGAGAATATAATTTTTTTTGTATATGTTATATTTTAACTAAAAAGGTAAACTTGAGGAAATAACAAACTATTGAGATTCCTCTTTATCCAAAGGTAGCCTAATTGGCCCCTAATTGAGTTGGCCCAATTCCAACTCAATTATGTGCTAACTATGAATTTTAAGACATTTACTAAGCTAAATAAGTTCATAAGTCTAGGTTTCTTCCGATAAGCTTTCGGCGATCTTTTGGCGAACTTCCGATGATCTCTCGACAATGTTCTATCGGACTCCCGACAAGCTTCTAGACTTCACGACGATATTCTTGGCGAGTTCCAATGAGCGTCTCTGGCAAGCTCCTGATTTTCTCAGTTAATTCCGATAGAACTTTCGATGAACGTCCAAACTTCCAACTAACTCTTGAACTCCCAACGAAGTCTCGTTCTGGACTTCATGTTGCTTAATGTCTTGCTATCATAGTTAATCATGCACACTTAAAACCTACTTCGATCTAGACAATTATTACAAAGCTTGAATCATGTTGTCCAGCATGTAATCAGTTCATCGACGCTTTGTCCGATTCTTCGGCACATTGTCCTCTCTTGCG